CATATATTCTGAAGTCTGATGGGAAGGAAAACGTTGCATTTGCCATTGAAAGTAAGTGAAACCTTACCTATACCAAGAGATATCCTAATCGAAGGGCTTTATCCTAAGAAACCAAGAAGCTGCCTTTTATTATTTTTTCTCTCTTCTTGCCTTTAGTAGGGAAGCAACAGAGGGCTGGGTCAGCTAAATGATTTAAAAAAGCAAATTGCAATATTCTTCATGGTTAGCAAAAAACACTCATCCTAGTTTCTGGTAAAGAAAGCCTCTTGAAAGACCTGATCTATCAGTTGGCGGAAAATATGGAGAGTCTAAATGTTAACTGAAGAAAGTTTAATGAAAGGACTATCAATGAAGGTTTGGGCAGAGTTGGGGGCTCTAGAAGAAACTATAGAATCATGTTCATTGGATCCATGACAGATTTGTGTAATTCAACTGATCTTCAATGACACTGCAGTAATTAAGAATATGTATGAACCGTGGAGTCAAGACTGAGAAAGGATCCATTACCAAGTTTACCACTTTCTATGGGTATGACCTTTGGCAATTAAAAAAACCTATCTGCATTTCAGTATCCTCACTTGTGAAACGAAGATAGTACTATCTCAGAGGATTGTTGAACGAGGTAGAGGAGAAAATGTAACTCAAATAGCACCTGACAGATTGTGTAAAAATACGTGAATGTTAAATTTAATTATTATTCCTTATTTGTTTTTTGTTAGAGATATTATAATATTGGCCACAAAAACTGTTATTATTTATGATTAGGTTTGGCTGTGAATAATTTTAAAAAAAAACAAAAGAAGCTTAAATCAAATTTTCTCTTTCACACAAAATTCAGATCTAGACAGGGCCAGGTTTGGTATGGCAGTTCTGCTCTAAGCGCACATACATCTTCCATTTCTATGTTCTGCCATCCTCAGTGAGTGGCCATTGTCTTCATGGCCCAGGATGGTGGTCGTTGCATCCTTGTGTCACATGGCAGAACTGAAAGGAGAGCAGCAGCAGTCTTAGGAAAGGGTCTTGAGAGCTGACATCTTGTTGCCAAGGACATTAGTTATGTGGCCACAGCAGGCTACGGGGAGGTTTGAAGATTTAGTTTTTATCCTATTTCTAAGGGAGAAAGAGGCAATAAATATTGAAGGATAAGCCTTGTCATAGTCAACAGCTGTACCAAATTATCATTATATCCTAAAGTCACCTTTAGTTTCTCCCATTTTTTTCTGTACTTTTTCTTTTCCATGGAGTTTTTTTCTTGCCTTAGCATTCATAAGCCTATGTATTTTCTGTTCCACTTCTCTTCCTGGCTTTATTCCCCTTTGTTTCTTTCATGTATGTAATTAACATTCCTAATATTTTTCCGCACTTTCACACTGTTTTGCATTTACTAAAGTTGAACCTTTCTACAAGTTTGTAAGTCCAAGACTTACTGCTCATTCAAAGCTCAAATGTAAGTTATTCCAAAAGGACCCTTAGAAACTTCAGGTTGAGACTGCTCTTTCTAGGTCCTCTTTTTAGCCCTGTATCTCAGGCTGTCTTATATTAGATTTCCTTAGGTATATATCTGTTCTCCCCAGGATGTCAATATGAGGAGATCAAAATCTGCACCTTTTACAGTATCATATCTCCTAGAACAACAGTACTTTGCACATTTTAAGTATTTGGTTGTTTAATGTATTATATAGAATTGAAAAATATTCCTTAAATCCACAGAGGATTGTTACTATAAGTAACTGAAAGTTTTCTAATGCATATATAAAAAAGCTGCATGTCATAAATTTATTTTGGAAATTTTATGAGTGGAATTTCATAATTGAATCATTGTAAAATATATCTGGGGGCCACAAAATGTAATTCTATTATAAACTTTTCTATAGAGCCAACCTCGCCCGTCTCAAATTATTTTCCAGTTTGTATTTTTAAATGCTTACTTTCCTTAGAGTGGGTCCCATTATTGCACTTGTCTTAATGAATAATTTTTCAAACATAGATATGTAACTTTTTAAAAGTCACATTGACTGAGATATAATTTACATACAGTATAATTCACACTTTTTTAGGCATACTAGCCTATACTAGTTAACTTTACTAGTTAATTTTCTAAGATTATTATAAATATGAAGCTACCACCTACTTTTTACATCTGTCTGAAGGCTTACGATAATTTTAATGATCTTTAAGTGTGGGGCCAAGAGCAGAAATCTCGTAACTTAAGTAAAACTACTTGACTCCCAGGCCGGGATCGCGCGCACTGGGCGGGCGGGGCGGGGTGAGTCTGGGGCCTGAGCCGCATCCTCAGCGTTGGCGGCGGCGGCGAGGCCAGGGGCGGCGGGCTGAGGTCCCCCGGCGCAGTTCCCCGTCCGGCCTTGCGGGGACGCCAGCGCGGCCGATCAGGTGACCGAGCGCTCATCGGGGCTGCGGGAAGCGGCCTCGTTCTCAGCCGCCGCCGCCGCCGCCGCCGCTGCCGCCACACCTACTGGAGGAGCTCGGGAAGGCGGCTCGGTGGCGGCTGGGGCGGAGAGCGCCGGGGGTGGGGACGGAAGGGCGGCGGGAGGAAGGCAGGAGGCTGCTGGGCCGCGCGCGGGCTGCCGCTGGGGAAGGAACCCCAAGGTGTCCTCCGCGGCTCGTCTGTCACCCGCGCGGACTGGGGCGCCAGGGCCATGGGCGCGCTCCCCTGAGGCGGAGGTCGCGGGCAGGAGGGTAGGAGGCCCGCGAGAGGCTGCTGCGGAAGCCGCGGGCCCGTGACTGGGCGCCAGGCGGGCGGGCGGCGGCGGCACCACCACCACCATGTCGCGCTCGGTGCTGCAGCCCAGTCAGCAGAGGCTGGCGGAGAAGCTCACCATCCTCAGTGACGGGGCGTCGGCATGCTCACCCGCCTCTACAACATCAAGAAGGTGCGCACGGGCCGGCGAGGCCGCGGGGGGTGGGGGCGGGCGGGCTGAAGAAGGTTGGAGGCCTGGGGGGAACCGGGGATGGGTCAGCAGGCGGTGCCCAGGGCCGACCTCACGGCGTCGCCGCGTCGGGGCCTGCCCGGGGTCGCCGGGATGCGCCGCGGCCTAATGCGGAGCCCCGGGCGCCTTCCCCGGCGGCTCGCGGGCGGGCCGCAGGCAGAGAGAAGCCATTTCCCGCGGCGCGGTCCGGCCCGGCTCCACGCTGGGCGAGGGGCGCCGCCGCCGCTGCTCCCTGGATCCTGGCCCTGGGACGGGGTCCGCAGGAAAGGGGGTGGGGGGTGGGCGACGTCTGCGGGGCGGGGCGGGGGAGGAAAACTTGGTCGATCCGCAACTGCGGTTGAATGGGAGGAATCGCGGAAGCGGGAGCAGTTTTTCTTCAAGTTTTTTATTGTTAAGTGTGGGAATGTGGGAAGGGAATGGCTAATCAGGGTGAACCCCCACCCCCGCACTTTGCCACTTTATTTTAGATTGCTAAATAAAAGCCGGTCGAGAGCGTGTTGACGATTTGGAATTATTTCATTTTGAAGGTGGGGAGTAGGGCAAGTGAGGGTGGAACGAATTTTCTTCTGAAATACTTCTGGGCTGTGAGTCACTAGAACAGGAATAACAAACTTCTCTCCCTTCACTCTTCACTCCTCCTCATAGTTTTCTCAGCCTTGTCTGATAGCAAGACGCTGTTTTATAAAGTTCGGTGTCGGTGCAAAATAAAAACTAGATACGTGGCTACTACTGATGATTGAAAGCATATTCTGATAGAGTAGCTGTAGCCAATAGGCCCATTCAAAGTCAGCAGATTGAATGGAAGGCTGAGTTGGAGTTAAAAGCAGATGTAAAGATAGAACAAATACATTAATTTATCTTAGGAGAAAACAACCAAATTCCTTTTCTTTTTAAGACAAGATTAGTAAATTTCAAAGAATTTAATAAAAAAAATTTTTTGAGATTTTTTTTTTGGTACAATCTAGATCTTTAGAATTCCCAGTTTAATGTCAAATCTATTTTTGTTGTGTTAACATAATCACCAATATTTCCTTTTGGTTTAGTCATAACAGTAGAATTATAATGCTTGTTCATAGGGCTGCTGAATAAATACTACTTTTGAAATTCGTATCATAGGGTTCAAGTGAAAAGTGATTTATTTCAACAGTTTGATAGAACACTAATTTCTAAAGGAGAAGGCTGTCCTACCTTAATAGTGATCAATTTTATACAAGGATAGCTATGTTGCAGTTGCTCAAGTAGATGCAAGGATTTGACTCTTAAACTCGGTGCAACCTGGAGAGTAACTGCCACATGCCTGTTCAGTTTGTTGCATTTGATGTGGCCGGAGTTTACTGTCATAGAGAAGCCCTTTGCATTTAGGAAAGAGCCTTGGTTGTAAATTTAGTAGGTTAGAAGTAATTAAATTTTAGACCGTATTACTTACAGATTGTATTGACATGAACTTTTCTTATGAGATTATGCTCCTTAACAGACTTAGAAGTTGGTTCCTCTGTGAACTTTGTCCAAAAGATGAGCAAGTCAAACATTACTAAAAGATGAGATATAATTTGCATACAGTATAATTCACACTTTTTTAGGCATACTGGTCTATACTAGTTAACTTTACTAGTTAATTTTCTAAGATTATTATAAATATGAAGCTATCATCTACTTTCTACATCTGTCTGAAGGCTTATAATAATTTTAATGATCTTTAAGTATGGGGGCCAAGAGCAGAAATCTCTTAACTGAAGTAAAACTACTTGACTCCCAGGCCGGGATCGCGCGCACTGGGCGGGCAGGACGGGGCGAGTCTGGGGCCTGAGCCGCATCCTCAGCGTTGGCGGCGGCGGCGGCGGCGGCGGCGGCGAGGCCAGGCGCGGCGGGCTACGGTCCCCCGGCGCAGTTCCCCGTCCGGCCTTGCGGGGGCGCCGGCGCGGCCGATCAGGTGACCGAGCGCTCCTCCCGGGCTGCGGGAAGCGGCCTCGTTCTCAGCCGCCGGAGACGCCGCTGCCGCCGCCACACCTACTAGAGGAGCTCGGGAAGGCGGCTCGGTGGGGGCTGGGGCGGAGAGCGCCGGGGGTGGGGACGGAAGGGCGGCGGGAGGAAGGCAGGAGGCTGCTGGGCCGCGCGGGGGCTGCCGCTGGGGAAGGAACCCCAAGGTGTCCGCCGCGGCTCGTCTGTCACCCGCGCGGACTGGGGCGCCAGGACCATGGGCCCGCTCCCCTGAGGCGGAGGTCGCGGGCAGGAGGGTAGGAGGCCCGCGAGAGGCTGCTGCGGAAGCCGCGGGCCCGTGACTGGGCGCCAGGCGGCGGCGGCGGCACCACCACCACCACCACCACCACCACCACCATGTCGCGCTCGGTGCTGCAGCCCAGTCAGCAGAAGCTGGCGGAGAAGCTCACCATCCTCAATGACCGGGGCGTCGGCATGCTCACCCGCCTCTACAACATCAAGAAGGTGCGCACGGGCCGGCGAGGCCGCGGCGGGGGCGGCGGGCTGAAGAAGGTTGGAGGCCTGGGGGGAACCGGGGATGGGTCAGCAGGCGGTGCCCAGGGCCGACCTCACGGCGTCGCCGCGTCGGGGCCTGCCCGGGGTCGCCGGGATGCGCCGCGGCCTAATGTGGAGCCCCGGGCGCCTTCCCCGGCGGCTCGCGGGCGGGCCGCAGGCAGAGAGAAGCCATTTCCCGCGGCGCGGTCCGGCCCGGCTCCACGCTGGGCGAGGGGCGCCGCCGCCGCTGCTCCCCGGATCCTGGCCCTGGGACGGGGTCCGCAGGAAAGGGGGCTGGGGGTGGGGGGTGGGCGAGGTCTGCGGGGAGCTAGGAAAACTTGGGCGATCCGCAACGGCGGTTGAATGGGAGGAATCTGGCGGAAGCGGGAGCAGTTTTTCCTCAAGTTTTTTATTGTTAAGTGTGGGAAAGTGGGAAGGGAATGGCTAATCAGGGTGAACCCCCACCCCCGCACTTTGCCACTTTATTTTAGATTGCTAAATAAAAGCCGGTGGAGAGCGTGTTGACGATTTGGAATTACTTCATTTTGAAGGTGGGGAGTAGGGCAAGTGAGGGTGGAACGAATTTTCTTGTGAGATACTTCTGGGCTGTGAGTCACTAGAACAGGAATAACAACCTTCTCTCCCTTCACTCTTCACTCCTCCTCATCTTAGTTTTCTCAGCCTTGTCTGATAGCAAGACGCTGTTTCATAAAGTTCGGTGTTGGTGCAAAATAAAAACTGTACATACGTGGCTACTACTGATGACTGAAAACATATTCTTATAATTTGAGTAACTATAGCCAGTAGGCCCATTCAGTCAGCAGATTGAGTGGAAGGCTGAGTTGGAGTTAAAAACAGATGTAAAGATAGAACAAATACATTAATTTATCTTCGGAGAAAACAACTCCTTTTCTTTTTAAGACAAGATTAGTAAGTTTCAAAGAATTTAATAAAGAAAAAATTTTTGAGAGATTTTTTTTTGGTACAATCTAGATCTTTAGAATTTCCAGTTTAAAGTCATATCTATTTTTGTTGTGTTGACATAATCACCAATATTTCCTTTTGGTTTAGTCATAACAGTAGAATTATAATGCTTGTTCACAGGGGGCTGCTGAAGAAATACTTTTTTGAAATTCGTATCATAAGGTTCAAGTGTAAAAGTGATTTATTTCAACAGTTTGATAGAAACACTAATTTCTAAAGGAGAAGGCTCTCCTACCTTAATAGTGATAAATTTTATACAAGGATAGCTATGTTGCAGTTGCTCAAGTAGATGCAAGGATTTGACTCTTAAACTCGGTGCAGTCTGGAGAGTAACTGCCACATGCCCGTTCAGTTTGTTGCATTTGACGTGGCTGGAGTTTACTGTCATAGAGAAGCCCTTTGCATTTAGGAAAGAGCCTTGGTTGTAAATTTATGTAGGTTAGAAGTAATTAAATTTTAGACAGTATTACTGACAGATTGTATTGACATGAACTTTTCTTGTGAGATTATGCTCCTTAACAGACTTGGAAGTTGGTTCCTCTGTGAACTTTGTCCAAAAGATGAGCAAGTCAAACATTACTAAAAGTTACTAGACCTGTGGTATTGTGGTTAAAGGAAATGGTTATGCTGGTTTCCAGAAGAGGAAGTGAGAGTAATATCAAAAGTGATTTGGGTATTTGGGCAAAGTATATTTTTGTAAGCATTCATTAAACGTCTTTATGGTAGAAATACAATCAAACTTTACATATTTTACCTTAGTAAATTACGTAAGATTAAATGTTAAGTATTTGGACTTACAATTCTACTTCACTGCCTTTTCGAAAGCATATTTTTTTCATTTCCTGTTTTGAGAAACTTAAGGCTCTTGTATTACTGAACTAGTAAAATTTCAAATGAATTGAATGATCATTATTTCCAAACATCAAATATTTTGAGTTATGGAGATGTTATATTCCAGCACTGAACGCAAATTCATAGTTTGTTGAGAAATATTTTGTCTACCTTGCTCGATTTGTGAGTTGCTCTGGGCAGGGACAAGTTACTCATTTTTAAATTAGTACATCTGGTCCATGAGGCCTTCAGTTAAGCCTTGTTCAAATGGATGAATGTAATATGTATATTATGTTTATAATATATACATAATACATATATATATGCATATTTAACATATATATGAGTGTGTATATAATCTTGCTCCAGTTTTAATAATAGTAGCTTTTGGTTTGCTCTCCTTCTAATTTTGCATACAAATGCATCAGATTTTGATTCTTTCAGCTTATCAGTATAAGACTTGTCTTATAAGACTGGCATATAAGGAAGCTGACTGGTTAGGGATTGAAACATTTGTTCAAATAACTTGCCACAAAGTGAGTAAGATCTGTTCACCATGTGTGTATAAGGTTCATACTGTCTGCATTTTGATGACAGTATAAACCACATGATCTTTTCAATCTCAGTTTCTTATAGTCCTCAAGGAAACACTTCCACTGACTGCATCATACATGTCTGCCCAATTACCACATTTTTATTAATACAGGTATGCATTAGATTATCAGTCAGATCTTATTACTCTGTTTTTATTGGAAGTCTGCAATGGAAATATTTTAGTGAACATATATGATGAAATGAAAAATACATCAGTGACCTAAGTAAAATAAGTTACTATAATTAAGAATAATATGCTTTAATACTTGGAAAATGTAACATGGTTGCTGAAAAATGTTTTGCTTTTTAAAGAAAATTTCATAAGTTGAAAAATTTTTTAGAACTTAATATGTACAGCTAGCTCCTGGAAATTTTAAGGCCCTTGTAGTCTAATCAGGGGTGTAAGAACACACAAAGGAGGATTTTAGGGGAAAGAGCTGAAGGTAGTAGTAGGTAGGTAGTCTTACATTTTGTTTGTTTTTTTAATTCCTTAACATTTTTATTTTTTATTGAAAATGTCTTCCCTTTACCAGACCTAATAATGATACTCATGTATAGAGTAATTTTTAACATTTTTCAGGCTACTTTCATATCTGTTGCTGTGGCATGGCAGACCATTTGGTAGTGGAAGTAGAGCATACAGGGGTAGAAGTTAAGAGACCTGCGTTCCAATTTCTACCCTTCATTGAGAGTTCTGTAACAGTGGATAGGTGTCTTGACTTTCCTGAGCTTCATTTTTTCCTCCTCTGTAAAATTGGGGAAAATTAACTGTATAGGAAGGCTAAAGTCTATTCTAGCTCTGATTATGTTATCTTTACAAGTGGAAGTTATGGCCCATTTAAAAAACTAACTGAGCTCACTTTAGTTTTCCATAATACAGGGATAGTAATACCTGCTCTGCCTACTTCACAGAAATGTTTAAGGTAAAAGTAACATTATGAAAATAGTTTAAAACTTCTATGAATGTAAGATAGTATTTATTTAGGAATCACAACAACTTTTTTGGGCAACATCTGTTTTTATGAAATTTTACTCCTGTTAAGCAAACACATTCCCAAAGCCCAAAGAAAACATTTTTGCTAAATTTAAAATATTTATTTTTGTTGTTTACTACTTGTTTTTTCTGTCTTCTTTCTTTTCCTATACTGTCACCAGCAGGAACTTGATAATTCTGTACCAAAAGGTCTCAGTTAATAATTGCATATTTTTCCAGTTATTAAATTATTGCCTCAATTCTACAGGACAGAAAGGAGATATGACCCACCCAAATATTACAAACTTTTTTTAATGGAGTATTTTTGCAGATTTCATCATACTTCACTTCCTTTTTGTTTTTTAATTAGAGGAATTTTTTTTTCACAGTCCTTTGCCAATGCTACTTTTATTTCATGAAGAAAAAAATTAGTAGAATTGTATTGTAAAATAGAAAGTTCTTAGCTGTATCTGCTTCTCTAATGGGTGGTGTGGGGCAGGAAGATATATGCGGAGGGTGCTGTGCAAGGTAAAGGAGAGGAACAAACTTCAGTCTTCTCTGTAAGTGCTAAAATTTCTCTTCATTTAGGATGTTATTTTCTCTGTTGGTCAATCAGAAGCATGTTCAAAGATTGTCCGTGGCAGCTTCTAGACTAATAGGTATTAGTAGTATGAGGTAGTTTTTTTCTCCCAGTGGGGTTTCACTAGTGACAGCCCTTAAATATGTTTAGAAGAAAACATTATCTTTCCATAAATCTGAATTTAAATAATATATATATTATTTATTTAAACAAATCTTACTATGTCTGTAACTTTATTTTTCAAGGAAGCTGCTTGTAAATTGAGCATTTCATAATAGTTTTTCTCATACTAGATGTTAGGCTGAGGAGATAAATATCCCTGAAAAATACTTAAGAAAAACATTTTTTTTAAGTGGTACGGATACATTTATCCGTCTTGTGTTTCTCTTGTGGAGTTGTTAAACAGCTTAAATATTAATTTTTTATGATTACAAAAAGAATACATGTTTATTGTCAAAAACTTAAACATCGATGTGTGATTTAAAAAATCTGCCTGCCCATCTCCCATGTTTAAAAATAAGCTTTGTATACTTAAATTGTTTTTGTACAAATACCAACATATGTGCGTACATATTCTATTATATGACTAAATTAGATTCTTTGTAAAAATAAATTTGCAGCAACATGGTGCAGTTTATACATAAATGGAATTAGGGCCCTTAATCTATTGCTTGTATACTTACAGTTTAAGAAAATTGAAAGGAATGGATTTAGCTATATAAATGGACATAGCTATATCCAGTATGTTAAAAATGAGGAGTCCAGATGAAAAAAATGTGTCTGTGTTGAAAGTTCTTGTTCTTACTGGTTAGGATGATTGAAAATCTTAAATTCATGTTGTTGATAATTTACTAGCTATGTTAACATTAAGTAAAATTCCAACAATAATTTTGGGTCAGGTTCAATAGGTGTACATGTTACTAGGACTAAATAGTTGATATCTTTATAGTGTAATAAACATAATATGTAATGAAAGTAATGCTGGCTGACATTTATTTGAGATTTCAC